CGTGTGGATAGGAGGGGTAGGGTGAGGATGGGAGTGACAGGTGTAATATCACTCCTAAATTGCATCAAATATGTATGAGACATATTTAAAAGGTGTAAAAACCACCTTCAGATATCACTGAAATGAATTTTTTTTCAGTGAAAACTACAAAAGGCTCCCCTGGATCCCCACAGTATGGCTTCAGCACTCATTTCCTCCAGAGTATCAACCCCTTTATAGATTTCTATCTATGCCCCTGTAACAATATTCAATAATCACGACAATCTTAACGAAAAGTTTTTTTTATCTGTTCTGTATCAGAAAAACAATTTATATTGAGTGGAACTGTAAATTCTAAATGCCCCCCCCCTCCCCCCCAGTGGCTCAGCAGTAAGTCTGAAGGCTTATGATGCTAAAAACTAGGTTTTGATAGCCGTGGTGGGCACAGTACAGACAACCCATTGTGTAGCTTTGTGCTTCATAACAAGCAAAAGATTCTGAACCCTATTTCCATCATCATCTTACAGTAGATGATTATCCTACCAATTTATTTAACACTATATATATTTTTTTTCCTAGATGATAGAAACAGAATGTTTCCAAGAACTTAACCAGTTTGGCCCTAATGAAACCCCTTCTCCTGACCTCCTGATTGACCAACCTCCTCCAGCTGAGTCGCAAGGTTGTTTTCCATTTAGGAAAAAAGAAAGGTACGTGTTTTCACTAACTCTCAAAGTTCTGTTTCTCGGAACATTCACGTACAGGTTGTCATAGCTAGACACCTATACGATCATTTTACCGTAATTGTTTTTTTTTACTAGATACTAATTTCTAATTAGTTTATTGTTTTGGCTACCAATATACTGTTGTCTTCAGGAAAGGACTGTTTGTAGTGATAGTGGCTGAGATTTGATGTTGTGTCTTCTTGTCAGGAAGGCTGGCGCATGATGATCCATTGGTGAATGGTTCTAGGAGAGGTGTCAAGATTTTGATTACTCCTATGCCATGTTGGATGTTGGTGGTATTTTATCTAGAACATATCTAGCTATGGGTGAATTTCTGCAGTAACTGTGGGATGAAACTTGTTTGTGACATTTAAGTAGACTTTAGATGTGTGGGGTGGTGTATTTACGTTCTCTTAAAAGTTCTTTTTAATGATGCTTGAGGAGTGAGCTAGTTTTTTGTGTTTTTTATATCACTCGAATTATCATGAACTTTGGTATATTCCTCTTTGCCCAGGGCTACAGTGTAATTACCTTTGTCTGTTAGTATAATTGTTGTGATATTGTTTTTGTTTAAGTTTCTGAGGACAGTTTGAATGATATAATAAAGTTTACATTTGTTGCCTTTTGGACTACTGGCTAATGCTAAATTAATAATAATTTTGAATTCTTCTAAGTTCTTTTCTGGTAAGCTGTAAGTTGTCTTCTGTAGTTGTAGCAGTAGTTAGGATGAGTGTTATGTGATAAGGCAGAAGTTAGTCGTATACTCAGTTGAGTTTCATCTGGTTCCGTTAATGGTTGTTTACTGAAGTTGTGTTAAGTGTGTCTTTAGTGTTAAGAAACTTAGAAAATGTTCCCATGTGTCAAAGGTCTCTCTCTGTAAAGAGAGTAAAGCTATACAAACAACATGAATTTAGAACAGTATTTGGTAGCCTTAAGACGATATAGTCACAATTCATTCACACACTAAACCACCTAAGTTCTTCGGAGAGCAAAAACACTGTTTACAACACCTCTTGAGTATGTGGATCCGAATACATTGGAAAAACAAAAATACTAACGAAAGTCAGAATTCAGAAGCATAACAGACATATACGATTTTGTAGCTGATCTATTTGCAATAGTTCATCATGCCAGAGGAGACCATATGATTAAATGAAACAATAGAAAACTGATGGTATATGAACCACACATGAGGAAAGCAAAGATAAAAGATGCTTTTTATATTCATCTAACTGAACAGCTTACCATAGAAGTAATCCTGGAAACACCCCCTCTTGTAACTATTTAACTAGTTAATTGATTGAAACTTTAAGCAGGGGAAAATCCCAATAGAGTGGATAGCATACCAATCTTTTTAAAAAGAAAACCCAGAATAATATTCTGACCTCATAACCATAGTGTAAGTACTATTCACATAGTCTATAATGTGTTTTTCTTCCAAATATCATTAAATTTTTATCTATTTAATATATGTATGTCCTATTATTGTCTATCACTAAAACCTAAACTTACTGACAGTATGTACTGTTAAACTAAAGAAAACTGTTCTGTCCTTCATATTATGTAACGGTTTGATAGCTCAAGGTTAAGACTGAAGCCTAAAATTATAAGAGTTGACTGCGGTCCAGCAAAGTGTTGACAAGCATTAGGCCTAATATTTGGGGTGAGAATCACAATTGTTGTGGGTAATTTTTTTCTACAACTTAATTTGTTTGTTACTTATTCAACTCGGAAATATGCAAAAATAGTATTTAAGGTTCATTTTTGTTTGTTGTAGGTCAATACCCAGAAAATTAGGCCTATAAGCTTATCTTTCATCTAGTAACAGCCTCTCTGAAACCTAGACTTGTAATAGTTAGTTTATAAAAGTAATCACAGAAAGGTATTTTAAAGGAAAACATTACCTATTCCTCATGTTATTAATGTTAACAAGATTGAAAAAGGAGCTCGAAAAATTGCCCTGAAGTTTAATTATTTGCTCCTATCATTTGCATTCAGCTATCACTGTTTTCTGTATAATTTATTGGTGGTACTTACTGACTTCCGTGAAGTTTATAACCATCTCAACGTTATTTTAAATAGTACAAAACAGTTTCCAATCATATTTGTTCCTTATGCTTGATTCTGTCTTGCAGAAAAAATATGGCCAAGACAACAAAATCTAGCAGTAACTTTCAATTCTCGTCCTCAGACGCCCCTAACTCTTCTAGTGGCGACCCTACGACAACTTTCGCCTCAGGTCAAGAAAATGCTTTCCGTGCCAGCTGAGGAGCATCTGGCTCTTAACACAAGGCATTCCCTGTCACATACAAAAGCAGTGCCAATTGTTACCAGGGTGACTTTTGTGTTGCGGGTATCCCGTGAGTTATGACGTAAATCAGAATTGTAGTTTCCCTGTTGTCTGACTTCCAGACTTTGTTATATCTTTTCCATTAATGGTGTATTCTGTACCTGATCCTCCCCAGCTCACAAAGAGATCATAATACTCCACTAATTTTGTCTAATCAAGTATTGTGATAAATGTGAACTCTGTATATAAGTCAGCAACCCTCAAGATCAATTATTACATGGTCACCTTGAGTACAGTTTTTATCCCCAGATGGTTTCAGTTTTCGTTTTTGTAAAGAGGATCAAATATTTGTATTTTTATGTAAATACATAAACATTTGGTTAAAATAGTGTGTTTTAGTGCTAATCCCACTCTTTTTTCTTATATTTTGTGATTTAGCAATATGAAACATTCATGTACATCATAACTTCAGCCCCTGGAAATAGATATAAACCCCTTCCCACTAATCACGTTGTTTTGTTCTTCCACCTAACATGCGAATAATCTTGTTATTTCAGTAGGAACTAATACAATGTCGCTGTTATTATGTACTAAAGTTAGTTTATAATCATGTTTTATGATATTTTGATTCATACAATATCATTTTTTTTAATATCCTATTCTAATTATTTATGAAGTTTGATTTGATTTAAAGGAACTGAACAAATAAAAGACAGTGCTATCTTGAGAGATGGAAAGGTATTGTGATTAGTCAGTTTGTGAGGGTGATAAAAAAAGTGTATTATAAATCTATTACTAATGAAATCTGGTCATATTGATAGGGTGATACAATGATTGTTTACAAAATAATTATGGATAGGAATTTCCTGAAATACTTGAAGTGAGATGATTATTGTGTGATTAACACTTTTATGGTCCATGTTTTTTTTCCTTTAACTCTACTGAACATCCAGCTATACATATGCTTAAGAATATTTATTACATCCTATCAACAAGCTACTGAACGTCCAGCTGTACATATGGATAAGAATATTAATTACATCCTGTCAACAAGCTACTGGACCTCCAGCTATACATATGGTTAATACTTATTACATTCTGTCAACAAATTACTGAACCTCCAACTATACATATGGATAAGAATATTTATTACATCCTGTCAACAAGCTACTGAATGTCCAGCTATACATATGGTTACGAATATTTATTACATCCTGTCAACAAGCTACTGAACCTCCAGCTATACATATGGATAAGAATATTAATTACATCCTATCAACAAGTTACTGAACCTCCAGCTATACATATGGTTCAGAATATTTATTACATCCTGTCAACAAGCTACTGAATGTCCAGCTATACATATGGTTAAGAATATTTATTACATCCTGTCAACAAACTACTGAACGTCCAGCTATACATATGGTTAAGAATATTAATTACATCCTGTCAACAAGCTACTGAACCTCCAGCTATACATATGGTTAATATTTATTACATTCTGTCAACAAGCTACTGAACGTCCAGCTATACATATGGATAACAATATGTATTACATTCTGTCAACAAGCTACTGAACCTCCAGCTATACATATGGATGAGAATATTAATTACATCTTGTCAACAAACTACTGAACCTCCAGCAATACATATGGTTAAGAATATTTATTACATCCTGTCAACCAGCTACTAAACGTCCAGCTATACATACGGATAAGAATATTTATTACATCCTGTCAACAAGCTACTGAATGTCCAGCTATACATATGGATAAGAATATTAATTACATCCTGTCAACAAGCTACTGAACCTCCAGCAATACATATGGATAACAATATTTATTGCATCCTGTCAACAAGCTACTGAACCATCAGCTACATTTGGATAACAATATTAATTACATTCTGTCAACAAGCTATTGAACCTCCAGCTATACATATTTGTTGACAGGATGTAATAAATATTCTTATCCATATGTATAGCTGGAGATTCAGTAGCTGGTTGACAGGATGTAATAAATATTCTTAACCATATGTATAGCTGGAGGTTCAGTAGTTTGTTGACAAGATGTAATTAATATTCTCATCCATATGTATAGCTGGACCTTCAGTAGCTTGTTGACAGAATGTAATAAATATTAACCATATGGATAGCTGGAGGTTCAGTAGCTTGTTGACAGGATGTAATTAATATTCTTATCCATATGTATAGTTGGACATTCATTTGCTTGTTGATAGGATGTAATAAATATTCTTAAGCATATGTATAGCTGGATGTTCAGTAGCTTGTTGACAGGATGCAATAAATATTGTTATCCATATGTATAGCTGGAGGTTTAATAGCTAGTTTTTTTACAGAATGTCATTAATATTGTTATCCAAATGTAGCTGATGGTTCAGTAGTTTGTTGACAGAATGTGATAAATATTCTTATCCATATGTATAGCTGGAGGTTCAGTAGCTTGTTGACAGGATGTAATTAATATTCTTATTCATATGTATAGCTGGAGGTTCAGTAGCTTGTTGACAGGATGTAATTAATATT